TCTCTCTCCCCCCCCCCCATGCCTCAGTTACTTAGCACAAGGAAATGAAATTTAATAGGATTCCAGCGTGGAAGCAGGCAAGAGAAATCCAGCACAACTTTTTTGGCAGCAACCCTCGCCCACCAAACAACCAAGGCAGAAGAGAGGCTGTGCCGCCACGCTTGACTCTCAGGGAAAGTGGCCGGAGTCCCACAGAACAGAGTGGTGGTCCTTCTGTGTGTGGGGGTGTTCTCTCTCCTCTCAACACAGCAGAGAGCTTTGGGACCAGAATAAATCCTTCATGGGGCCTCAGAAGGAAGAGTGTGCCAAGAGCATCACCAAGAGGAAGACTCACCTGCCGAAGGTCATAGACGGTGAGGGCAATGGAGATGATGGACAGGATGATGATGGCAATGGAATACTCAATATAGCCTTGAGCCAGCCAGAGGCTCAGAGTGAAGGCTTGGAACACGTAAAAAGGTTTCAGAATCTATCAAGACAGCACAGACCAGCTGACGTGAGTATCACGCACGAGACTGCTTCTGGGACACACAAGCATAAAAACGGCCCGCCAGGTCTATTGAAGCCAGATTCACAAAACAAGGGTCCCACCCCCCCTTCTCCTGCACTCCTCATGAGCCACGGTCAAAAGTCCGAGCCTTCTCGATCTGGAGGGCTGCTCTCTTTGTGTTCTCCCTCTGAGGGCCGGAAAGGTGGGCCCATGATGCTCTATTGCATCCTCCCCTTCCAGGTACAGAAGCCAGCCGGGCTGCCTCCCTCAGGGGGTGCAGAGCAAACCAAGCGGGTAGTCCAGAAGGCTCATGTCAGCAGAAAAAACAGGCATCATCAAGAGGTGTCTGTTGTGTAAAGCAACATGTACACGGATGGCTCTGCTTAAATACATGAGTCCATAACCTTGGAAAAGACCCTGATGTTGGGAAAGTGTGAGGGCAAGAGGAGAAGGGGACGACAGAGGATGAGATGGTTGGAGACTGTCATCGAAGGGACCAACATGAATTTGATCCAACTCCGGGAGGCAGTGGAAGACAGGAGGGCCTGGC